TGATTTGTTGTCGCCGACGCCGCCCGTCGCCGCCGTTCCGTTGCATGCCCCGTCCGATTGCAGATTGCACCACGTAGATTTTGGCTCATACATCGCGAGTAGACTTTATCCCCAGAATTGCCTCCTCCACTCGGGACAGCACAGTTTACATTGGGTAATGCCTCACCGTTTCCTCCTGCATATGAACTCAGATCATCCCAAGGAGTCAGCCCCCTCATCACCCCCCGTCGTCATTGTTAGAGAATTCGATGCGCGCAGTTTTTTTTTATTGCCTTGCGACGTACTCAACCAAGTTGCACCAAATGACAGAAAAAGTTGGCCCAACTGTGACTGAACACCGACAGCTAAGTCGGGCCTGTCCTTCTTCAGGGGGAATTTTCATACATAGTCAAATAATAGTCCGGGGACAATTTTTGGAGTATTTGTTTTACCATGTGGGAATATTTCCCAACCCTCCTGCGTTGGGTTCTCGTTTTGAATAGAGCACTGCTCGCGCGAACCTTCCTTCCCGTCCCTCTCTCCCCCCCTGCCTTTTACCTGGCTCGTCGCTGCGTTTCGAGGGCTGCTGGGGGCTGCGATCTGTGAAACTGTCGCCACTTTCGAGGGCTGCTGTGGGGCCCAGCACAGTGGGTACCCACGGCGGATTCAAATGGGACCTCGCCGTCCGTGGGGGGCTGCGATTTGTGAAACTGTCGCCACTTTCGAGGCCTGCTGGGGGGCCCAGCACAGTGGGTACCCACGGCGGATTCAAATGGGACCTCGCCATCCCTGGGGGGCTGCGATCTGTAAAACTGTCGCCACTTTCGAGGGCTGCTGGGGGGCCCAGCGCAGTGGGTACCCACGGCGGATTCAAATGGGACCTCGCCATCCCTGTTGGGCTGCGATCTGTGAAACTGTCGCCACTTTCGAGGCCTGCTGGGGTGCCCAGCACAGTGGGTACCCACGGCGGATTCAAATCGAACCTCGCCATCCCTGGGGGGGCTGCGACCTGTGAAACTGTCGCCACTTTCGAGGGCAGCTGGGGGGGCCAGCGCAGTGGGTACCCACGGCGGATTCAAATGGGACCTCGCCATCCCTGGGGGGCTGCGATCTGTGAAACGGTCGCCACTTTCGAGGGCTGCTGTGGGGCCCAGCACAGTGGGTACCCACGGCGGACTCAAATGGGACCTCGCCATCCCTGGTGGGTTGCGATCTGCGAAACTGTCGCCACTTTCGAGGCCTGCTGGGGTGCCCAGCACAGTGGGTACCAACGGCGGATTCAAATTGGACCTCGCCATCCCTGGGGGGCTGCGATCTGTGAAACTGTCGCCACTTTCGAGGGCTGCTGGGGGGGCCAGCACAGTGGGTACCCACGGCGGATTCAAATGGGACCTCGCCATCCCCGGGGGGCTGCGATTTGTGAAACTGTCGCCACTTTCGAGGCCTGTTGGGGGGCCCAGCACAGTGGGTACCCACGGCGGATTCAAATGGGACCTCGCCATCCCTGGTGGGCTGCGATGTGTGAAACTGTCGCCACTTTCTTATCTCGCTCGTCGCTGCGTTTCGAGGGCTGCTGGGGGCTGCGATATGTGAAACTGTCGCCACTTTCGAGGGCTGCTGGGGGGCCCAGCACAGTGGGTACCCACGGCGGATTCAAATGGGACCTCGCCATCCCTGGGGGGTTGCGATTTGTGAAATGTCGCCACTTTCGAGGGCCGCTGGGGGGCCCAGCACAGTGGGTACCCACGGCGGATTCAAATGGGACCTCGCCATCCCTGGGGGGCTACGATTTGTGGAACTGTCGCCACTTTCGAGGGCTGCTGGGGGGCCCAGCGCAATGGGTACCCACGGCGGATTCAAATGGGACCTCGCCATCCCTGGGGGGCTGCGATATGTGAAACGGTCGCCACTTTCGAGGGCCGCTGGGGGGCCCAGCGCAGTGGGTACCCACGGCGGATTCCAATGGAACCTCGCCATCCCTGGGCGGCTGCGATCTGTGAAAATTTCGCCACTTTCGAGGGCCGCTGAGGGGCCCAGCGCAGTGGGTACCCACCGCAGACTCAGATTTGACCTCGCCATCCCTGGGGGGCTGCGATCTGTGAAACTGTCGCCACTTTCGAGGGCTGCTGAGGGGCACAGCGCAGTGGGCTTCCCGCACGTGTTTCTCCTGCTCTTCGTTCCCGACTCCCCATGTCCTCTTCGAGCCTGTAGTTGTCGCCCCTCGTTCTTGTATGGTTCTCCTGCGCATCATGCCATTGGCGCGTGTCCCAAGTAGCCTACAGATCAAACAACGGATCCTGCAATTCGATTGTCCGTGCAAGTTTCGGCCAACTCCTCGTTTTCCATGGTACAAATGGATTGGGAACGTCACAGGGTAATGTTCAGTGTTTTCTCATTATCGTCGGGAATCCCACTGTAGGAGGACAGGCCCGACTTAAACCGACAGTGATGGCGCCATTTGCCGTGCGAGCGCGTGCGCGCGCGTGAAACGATTCGTTGGTCTGGCGCAGGAGGACGAGGACTGGGGCCCCGGGCTTAAATCAGGAGGTAAAGAAACACACAGACACGATTAATCGTCGATCCCCCAGAAATATGGGAACATCTGGTAAGTAGGGGGGAGACAAACACCCAGAAAATATTGGGAAATATGGGGGATCCTGTTAGTTGTGTGTACTTATTTGTGTGTCCCAGGGTCCCTTCATTGAATCGGAAAAGGGGGGTGGAAACGAGTGGCAAGAGAAGGGCGAAGGGTGCGAGCTGAACAGAACATCAGCGCCGCAGCAGCAGGGAAACGGAGAAAGGAGGACGAGGACGACACGAAACTGGCAGGATGAGAAGGAGGAAGACGCTTGCATCCAGTGGCGCGCTTGAGGTGTATCGCAGCCCGCGCATTCGCTCTGGCGCCCCACGAGACCAGGTCTTGATAGCAAGCGAGGCCTCGATCGCATGCCACCTTCTTTGCCTTATTCCTGCCCCTGCCGATCGCAGAATTAAGCGCCCGGTCGCACAGCGCCAGGTCTGCGGGCCGCCCGCAGGCAAGGAAGTCAAGGCCAGCGTTGCGCATCATCAGCAGATTGTCCACCGACGTCGCCATGGACAGCACCGCGTAGAGATGCATCCAGAGGTCGTTCATGGTTTCCTCATCCTTGAACCCGGCGTAGACAACGATTCTGCGGTGCATGGTCTGGCCGCGGCAGGGACGCCAGGACCTCGGCATGGGTCTGCGTAAGACGCCGCTTCGCTGGACCTCCCAGCACCTTCTCGAAAAAAGGCGACAGTTTCGCAGTTCGCGGCCACCAGGGATTGCCAGGTCTCGTCTGCAACTGCGTAAAGCGTCCTCCCGCTGAACCCCCCAGCAGCGATCGAAAGAGGTGACAGTTTCACAGCTCGCAGCCCCCACGGGATGGCGAGGTCGAGCCTGAATCAGCATAAGTAGGCCGTCGCTCCGCTGGCCCATCCACAAGCAACGCTCGAAAGTGGCGACGCTTTCGCAATTCGCAGCCCCCCAGGGATGCCGAGGTCTATGCAACTGCGTAAGGCGTCCCTTCCGCTGGCCCTTCAACAGCCCTCGAAAGTGGCGACGGTTTTGCAGTTCGCACGCAGCCCAGGATTTCGACGTCGAATCTGAATGTGCGTAGGGCGTCGCTCCATGTCACCCTCCAGCAGCCCTCGAAAGTGGTGACAGCTCCCCAGGGGTGGCGAGGTCGAATCTGACTATGCGTTTGGCGCCATTCCGCTGGACCCCCCCGGCAGCCTTCGAAAGTGGCGATTGTTTCGCAGCTCGCAGCCCCCCCGGGATGGCGAGGTCGAGCCTGAATTTGCGTGGGGCGTCACTCCGCTGGACCCCCCATCGGCCGTCGAAAGCGGCGGTCGCTTCGCATTTCACAACCCCCAAAGAGGGAGACGTCGAGTCAGAATCTGCATTGGGCGTCCCTTTGCTCGACCCCCCGACAGCCTTCGAAAGTGGCCACGGGTCCGTATATCGCAATTGTTCCCACGGCGACGTCGTAAGAGGCAGGATGGCACACAGGACAGAGGGCAGAATGGCAGGCATGATGACCGACAGGGGAGACATATTAAGCATAGGACGGAAGAGGTGTGCGACCGCGCGTTGCGAGAGCAGTGTGGTTGACATCCTCCAGTTCTGCTGGGCGATGTGCGCCACAGAGCCTACACCACATAGGTTGCATCACATTGATTGCACGACGGTTGACATCCCATCTGTCGGACGACATGGGTTTCGCCAGAATGTTGATTCCACGCGCGTCACACCGCATCGGTGAATACTGTAGCCTCACATACATTGCACCACATTGCGTACACCACGCCGATCACATTGCACACGTCGGGCTATTTGGATTGCGCACCACGGAAATTGCACCACGTAGGTCGCAACACCTAGATTACATCACGTAGATTCTCCTTTCGAGATAGGTTCTACCACCCTCCCCCCCCAGGACTTACCGATTCACCGGGGACCGATGCAAAACACAAATGATTCTGACCCAAAGTCCATCCTATTTGTGAATTCGTACTATCCCAGCCAAACTGGTATCGGCCCCTCTCCGGTTCCCTTGCAACAAATCAGGGAGTGCCGAAATGGGTGTGACGGCCCTGGGGCCTTCGGTGAAGCTCCCCATGGGGCCACGAAGTGCTGTACTGGGTGTGAGAGACGCGTGCGGGCTGCGGCACTGGGCCACATGGTGAAGCTCCCCATGTGGCCACGAAGCGGTGTACTGGGTGTTGGAGACGCATGCGAGATGCGCCACTGGGACCTTCGGTGGAGTTCCCCATGGGGCCACGAAGCGCTATACTGGGGGGGGGGGAGACGCATGCGAACTGCGCCACGGCGACCTTCGGTGGAGCTCCCTACTATACTGGGTGGGGGACACGCGTGCAAATTGCGCCAGTGGGACCTTCGGTGGAGCTCCCCATGGGGCCACGAAGCGCTATACTGGGTGGGGGAGACGCACGCGAACTGCGCCAGTGGGACTTTCGGAGGAGCTCCCTACGGGGCTACGCAACATTATACTGGGTGGGGGAGACGCATACGAACTGCGCCACGGCGACCTTCGGTGGAGCTCCCTATGGGGCCACGAAGCGCTGTACTGAACGGGGGAGACGCATGCGAACTGCACCACTTGGACCATCGGTGGAGCTCATTATGGGGCCACGAAGCGCTGTACTACATGGGGGAGACGCATGCGAACTGCACCATTTGGACCAGCGGTGGAGATCCCTATGGGACCACGAAGCGCTGTACTACATGGGGGAGACGCATGCGAATTGCGCCACTGGGGCCTTCGGTGGAGCTTCCCATGGGGCCACGAAGCGCTATACTGGGTGGGGGAGACGCACGCGAACTGCGCCAGTGGGACCTTCGGTGGAGCTCCCCATGGGGCCACGCAACATTATACTGTGTGGAGAGACGCATGCGAACTGCGCCACGGCGACCTTCGGTGGAGCTCCCTATGGGGCCACGAAGCGCTGTACTACATGGGGAGACACATGCGAGCTGCACCACTGGGACCATCGGTGGAGCTCCCTATGGGGCCACGAAACGCTGTACTACATGGGGGAGACGCATGCGAATTGCGCCACTGGGGCCATCGGTGGAGCTCCCTATGGGGCCACGAAGCGCTGTACTGGGTGTGGGAGACGCATGCGAACTGCGCCACGGGGACCTTCGGTGGAGCTCCCTACGGGGCCATGAAACGCTATATTGTGTGGGGGAGACGCATGCGAACTGCGCCACTGGGACCTTTGGCTGGAGCTTCCTATCGCTGGAGCTCCTTGTGGGGCCTCGAAACGCACGCTGTACTGGGTGGAGGGGGCGCATGCGAACTGCGCCACGGTGACCTTCGGTGGAGCTCCCCATGGGGCCACGAAGCGCTGTATTGGGTGGGGGAGACGCTTGCGAACTGCGCCATTGAGTCCATCGGTGGAGCTCCCTATGGGGCCACGAAGCGCTGTACTCTGTGTGACGATGATGGTGATGATGACGGCGATGACGATGACGATGACGATGACGATGCTAGTGATGATGATGATGATGATGATGATGATGATGATGATGATGATGATGATGATGCTGATGATGATGATGCTGATGCTGATGCTGATGCTGATGCTGATGCTGATGCTGATGCTGATGCTGATGCTGATGCTGATGCTGATGCTGATGGCGATGGCGATGGCGATGACGATGACGATGACGATGGCGATCATGAGGACATGCGGAGGGCAGAGGCAAGGAATGGGAGGAGGGGAATCGGCGCCGTCACTGGCTGCCCCGTCGTCGCAGTCAGCATCGTCACCAGCATCGCTACACTATCATCATCGTGTCAACCGTTGTCGACGTTACCGCGCCCGCTCAAGTGGCCGACTCGCACTGAAGTGCCCGCTGGGACGTGCCGAGCGGTCAGCGCCACCGCGTTCGCGTCGGTCGCGCTAAACTAGCTGGCCGCTGCGCGCGCGAGCATGCGCGGGCTAGCGCGGCCGCAGAGATGCACCAGCCAACACCCTGCACTCATCGCAATCGTTCCCGCATGGGTTTTGCAAACCAAATTGCGGGTGGGTGGGTGGGATGATTGCGCGAGCATTGGAGTTGACAATTTTAAGTCCGGCAAGTGAATTGCACCGCGTAGCGTCCACCACATTAATTGAACCACGCGTATTGCATCACGTCGATTGCGTGGCATCGTTTTCTAGGAACGCACCGGTTGGGGCCCACTGCGGCTAATATTGTTCGTGTTAAGAGCACGGGGAGGAAGGAGAGGAGGAGGAGGAAGAGGAGGCGGAGATGGAGGATCAAGAGAAGAAGTAAACCCTTAATGAGGAGGAGGAGGAGGAGGAGGAGGAGGAGGAGGCGGGGGCAGAGATAGAGAGGGAGACAGATGAGCATCGAGAAGAGGAGCAGCATCATGCCGAGTGCAATGTCGCTGCGAATGCTAACTTTGGCGTGGGCCCAACCGATGCCCCATGGCCCACCACAACCCCCGCGCGCGCGATCCGCGCGCGCGGCTCTTCCTGCCACCCGCCGCCGCCGCTGTCGCAAAAAAGCCCAGGGGCGCAGGCAGCCCGGCAGAGCCGCCGTGGCATGCGCGCGCGCCCGCGACCTGAACATCGTGTGAACACCCATCTGCAGTTGGGCTCCGGCGAAACAGCTGCGTGCACAGTTCAGCCCAGGCGGCATGGGCGGGACTGCATCAGCGCCTCCCCGCTTCCGCAGCCATCCGCCTCAGAGGCCCCACGGGGCCGTGCTGGCAGCACGCTGCGAACCGCGACTGTTCCAGCGCTGCGTTTAGGAAACGAGGGGTCCCTTGATGGCGGCGGCGCCGCCGCCGCACAGCTCGCCCCCGCGGCCATGCGACCCTGGCCCGCCGCCGCAGTTCCTTGGCCGGCCAGCGCGGCTTGAGGCTGCGGGCGAGCCCGACGGCGCGGAGCCGCGCCGGCGGCCCGAGCCGCCCCAGGGGCCGCGCACCAGGGCCTCGGAGGGCGCGCCTGCGGGCGGCGTGCGGGCAACGCCAGCCGCCCTGCTCAGCCCGCAGCTGCCTGCGGTGAGCGAGCAGCCGGAGAGCGACAGCGACGACGGCACGCAGGAGGACGATCGCCGCCTGTTCGTCGCCTGGGTTGTGCTGTTCGCCCTGGCGTTGTTGGCGCTCGGTGCGCTCTTGGCGGTCTACCTGGCCACGGCGCGCCCATGCTGGAACGATGGCCTGCGCAACGGCCGCGAGTACTGGGCCGTGTCATGGCCGTACTTCGCACTGGCCGCGCCCACGTCCTTGGCCTTCGCGGCCTGGGGCGTCTCCGTGCGCCGCCGGTCCCGCCCCGTCCCGTTGCACGCGTGGACGCGGCGCTCTGGGGCGTGCACTTCTGTCGCCGCGGTCGCCTGGCTCGCTTTGCCTATCCTGGACCCAGGGTGCCACGGCGCGGCGGGCGCGGCGTGGCGCGCAGTGTGCCTTGGGCTGGTCTATGGGGCCCACCTCACGACCATGTGCATCCCGTGCCACGTCGTCGGGCTGAGGCTCCGCTCGTTGCGGCGCCTGCGGATGGCGCGGTTGGCTCGGGCCATACTCATTTTCGGCATTGCAGGCAGGCTTGCGTGCGGTGCGGCCTGGTTAACACTCTTTCCCCTCGGCTGGCCAGGCCCAGATGGCGGGCTGGTGATTGCTGCTCTGCATCATCTTCGTCTCGTTGGGATGATGATTGCCGTTTTCAGCGTGACTGTGACTACGTGTTGCGGGACGGTGGGCCTTCTAATCGCCAGCCGCGCGCGCCACTGGGCACGCAGGACTCGAGTGGGAAGTGAGCTGGGTTCGCCTCACTGCCGCTTTTATCGCTGCGAAACTCCTGCTGACGTGTGTGGAAGGCTACTCCTGGACACTGACCAACGGCGGCGCCTCCGATAATGGTTTGTGGTTCGCAAGTGCCATGTCGCACGCCATCAACCACGCCTTTGACTGCCAGCAGGTGGCCTGCCTCTCTGGTCGCTCTGGACCGCGGTCGTTCCGGCGGCTGGCGACGGACGCCCTCAGAAGGATCAACCCGTACAGCTCAGCGGAATTGCAGTAGCGATATTTGGAGTTTCTGGTTTACCTTGACGGTGCCCAGATAAAATGGTTCCGATGCCGTTATCTTCGACATCTTGCAGGACTAGGTGCCACGATGGTGCGCTGCCAGGGGTTGCCCATGGCCGAGGCGATCGTCGGGAGCGAGGGTTTACCCAGTTCCAGGGACGAGCCCAAGCATCGGTATGTCGTCTCGCATCCCTGGGCGTCAAAGGAGCATCCCGACACTGACGGGCTGAAGCTGAGGGCTGTAGTCGAGCAGTTGGACTTAGTGAATGCTTATGAAGAAGATAGCGTGTTCATTGATTACATGGGGCTGCCGTAGCATGGCCTCCGGGACCAGGATCTTCAGCGCCTGGAGCTTGAGATTGGCGTGGCCGAAGCCCGGCGACCATCGGTCTGTCTGCAGCGAGGTCGAGGAGGAGTTGTTCAGCAAGGCGTTGGAGTCGATGGACACGCTTTACAGCGTCGGGGACATTCCTGCGATAGTGTTGCCCGTACTCTACAGCTGTCGGCGTTCACAGTCCATGTCAACGGATTCAGCATCGCTGTCAGAACTCAGTCGCGCGCACTCTCCGTGAGCAACGAGTACCTTTCACGAACCTGGTGTTTGTTGGAGTTTTGCCTGGCCCTCGCTTACGGAAACATCGCCAACGCGGATATCGATCCAGTTGTCAGGAATCTGGTTCACACAGTCAAGAGGTTGAACGCAGACTCGGTGGAGGGTTTTCGCGAGGCATTCAAGCGCACGCACTTTACGTGCCAGGGGGACGTGACCTTGGTCCTCCAACTGTTCGAGCGAACCCTGCAGCCGAAGAAGGGATGAGTCGGTTTCCTGTTGGAGTGGGCACCAGTTGCGCTGTCGACAACGATTGGATAATTACTTACACAGGGCGCCCTACTGGTGCTCGGTTTCGTCTCCCCGCACCCGCTTGCGAGGCTCTGTCACGCCCCAGCGGGTTTCACAGTTCCGAGTCGTTGCCAGAACTGTTCAAATACGACGCTTTGCTACAGACATCTGACATTGGAGTGGCAAGGAGGCTCGAAGACTTGGATCCTGAACCTCCAATCTGGGCGCAAGGCCTCCCCGGCCCCCCCCAGCCTCTCAAGGCAGACCCAGAAGCTCGCAGAAGGCACCGGGACGCCCGAAGAGGGCACGAGCGTGCAAACAAGAGACCCACAAGAAGGCCCAAGGGGGCTCGAAGAGAGCAAAGGGACTCGAAGAGAGCACGAGAGGCTAAGAAGCCGCGAGAGAGTCCAAGAAGGACCTTCGGACGGCCCTGATCTTCACATCTGAGTCCCTTGTATGTTTCGGTATGTTTTGCATTCCACGGTCAAAGCATCTTCGAAGGGCCAAGCTATCGAGCCCTGTGGTGAATCTTGCGCTGTTAATTTTGTCAGTTGTGGCTTTCTGGCCAGATAGGCACCACGAAGGATTGCTCCTGAAGTAACGTCTGCTCGTCATGCGCCAGCAGGCAAAACGCTTAGGCATCGCATTATTCAAAATGTGACGCCAGCGACTTGATCATAATCCGATAGAGATACCTTGGTTGACAGGTCTTGCTAATGCAGGCCAAGCCGCGAAGGGTCGCCAAGTCGTTGCAGTTTCTTGTCTGGGATAATGTTTGTTGCGCAAGTGCTTTGGCTATCCACCACCATAATCATGCGACATGTTACCGCGTATTCTTGTTCAGGGGAGCTCGGGTGCCCCAGATGATGAACGTTTGGTTCCCATGTCATGGTTGCCACGTTGAACGAGGCATACATTCAGCGTATCCGTCGCGAACTACGCAGTGCAGCTTGCCTTGCCAAAGGTCATGGGCCCTTGAATTGGCGTTCACCATGTGTATATGTATATCTGTTTACTTGTGTATATATTTATATATATATATATATATATATATACATACTTGCACAGAGTAGGCCATGCAGGAGCGGGAAAGGCAGCCATCTGGGCAAATGTCGGTGGCCTTTTGGAGGTAGTTTTTTGTTGCCTTTTATGTTGAGGGGTTCCCACGTCAGATCCCACCGTCACACTTTAGAGGCCTGTCCAGAGTCGCAGGGCAAAGTGACACGGCGCGGTTCCTCGAAGTTATCCTTATGTGATTGACCCTTCGCCAGAGTTGCCTTCGGCGTGGGCCCATTGGGGGTCCCCCGATCGCGCTGTGGCCGAGCTTGTCGCGCCGCCGGTTGCGTGCGACCACGCTTCGCCGAGATACGCTAAGCACGTCCGAGTCCCCAAGCGTCCACGCCCCGAGCTGTTCCCAACCTTCAGCGCCGTGGAGCGGAGCGCCACGATATCCGCTGGCAGGGCATGGCCCGTCGCCAAGGCCGCCGCCGCGACACGCTCAGCAGAAGTTCCCAGAAACCCGCGTAATCCGCCTCAATCACGCCTACTCCCGCTCAATCCGGCTTCATCGTGGGCCTAATCTCGCTGAGTGGCCCCTTGATCAGGCTTCGTAGCTTTCAGGTGTTCTTGGGAGGACCTCCCAGGGATCCCAGGAGTTGCTTCTTGATGCAAGATGCGTCTGGCCTCCACGTGTGAATCCAGCCGCTTGCGGTTCCAGCCTGTCGGGGCGGAGCCCGCCTCCCCGCAGCCAATTTTCTCCCCTGCGGCCCGGCACAGGCCGCGGAGCTGATCGTGGAGGAAGCCGTGGCGCGGCCGCCCGCCAGCAGCGGCGCCTGCGCCTGGGGAGGCGCGCGGCCTGTCCTGCTGCGCCGCAGCTGGAGGGCTGGGATGCAGGGCGGGGGCTCCGGTCGGGACCTTTTGGAGAGCGCGTCGCTCCGCCGGCTCTGGCCCACCCTGCTCTGGAGGGACACGCTGCACGCTTCCCGTTGCCCCGGCGTCCACGTCCCGAGCATGTCCGGGTCTCCGTCCATGCGGAGCGGAGCGACACGCCATCCATTCGTAAGGCACAGCGTATCGTTGGGGCCGCCGTGGCGACACGCTTTCCAAAAGTTGTCGACAGTATCCATATCTACTGCCTACCGAGCCGACGTCCTGGGCCCCTTTGGGGCGTCGGATATGTATGTTTGGTCCCAGGTGCTCCGACTAACACACACGCGCGCACACACCCATGTAGTATCTCAATCTCCACCACCTGCCAAGATCCCCGAGCATCGATCCCCTAGACGGTGGTTATGGATGCATCCCCGGCTCGGAAAGGCGCTTGAGTATCTATTTGGAGGCAGGGTTTCCTGACAGGACCCATTCCGATTCGACCGATCCAGATTGATTCAATGCTGTGACTTTCAGCTCGATCCGATCCGGTGCCCATTTGTTCGGTCGATTCGATATTCGATGTTGCCTGGTGCTTGAAATGGCGCTGGTGTGAGTCGTCGGGGCGCAGCCGATCTAATTTCTGGCTCCGTGCCGATTTATCCTGGTTTGATGTTGCCCGTTCCGATCCGATGTAGCGGCTCCATGTTGACCGTGCTTGTCTGGAAATGGCCCCGCCTTCGAGGGATCAGAGAGCCCCGAAAGCCGAGTGATGTGCAGCCAGGGCGGCATCGCCGTGAGAAGCTCGGCGGAAGTGGAGTGGGGGAGCAAGGGTATCTGCGGTCAGGAACATTCATCAGCGTGTCGCGCCACCGCTTGCAAGGTATGGCGCGCGCTGGGGCCGCCGCCGCGACAGGCTCAACAAAAGTTTTCCCGAGCGTCTTCCTCCTCAGGAGAGGCCAACGTCTGGGCAACCAGGAGTTCCGGAGCTGACCCTATGGGCAGATTCGGCCGATTCAGGCAATTGTATGGGCGGCGGGAGTAGGGTTCGGAATTCGTCAGGCACGTGGCGAAATTTGAGCCCTACCCCTGCCTTCCATCGATAGTTGGTGGGGGTAGAGTCCGGAGGTCGCCACCTTGGCGAGGAGGAGGAGGAGGAGGAGGAGGAGGAGGAGGAGGAGGTCGAGAATGAGGATGAAGACTAGGAGGAGGAGGAGGAGGAGGAGGAGGGAGGAGGAGGAAGAGGAGGAGGGAGGAGGAGGAGGAGGAGGAGGAGGAGGAGGAGGAGGGAGGAGGAGGAGGAGGAGGAGGGAGGAGGAGGAGGAGGAGGAGGAGGGACGAGGACGAGGGGGAGGGGGAGCAGCGGCGCCGGCGGCGGAGGGGGCGGCAGCTCCAGAAGCAGGCCTCCCCATCGAGGAGCGGCGGCGGAGGCCTGACGCCTCCGGCCCCCGGGGGCAGCAGCCAGGGAGGGCCCAGGGGAGGCGCGGGGCAGGCCGCTGGCGGTGAGTGTTATTTGGCATCGCTCGGACGTGTGCATTTTTCCGTCGGCAAGGACCATCGAGGAGAAAAAACCACGCAGAAACAGAAAAAAACACAGGGAATGTAAGTCAGGAGGGAAAGAAACACACAGACACAATTGATCGTCGATGCCGAGGAAAATATGGGAAAATATGGGAAGTGGGGGGGGAAGGCAGCAACCCAGAACATATGGGAAAATATGGGGAATCTCTTAATTTGTGTGTATTTATTTGTGTGTCCTGGGGCCCCTTCAGTTAAGGCTGCAAAGGGCGGCACGTGAGCATCGCCTCGTCGCCGGAAAAGAACATGTCAAGTCCAGCGGCCCGGCGCGTGGCCGTCCGATGGTTAGAAATATTGCTGAGCGCACTCTGCTGGGTTTGCTGTCTGGATGCGTCGAGCAGCGATGGCCCAAGGGGCTCCGCGGCGCACCTCTCGTGTGGGGCCGCGCACGACCAGCCTGCGAACCCGCGGGCCTGCCAGCGCCCCACTGCGCGCTGGCCGCCCCGCGCCGCGCCGTGCAGCGCGGCGCGCCACGCTGCGCCGCGCGCCGCTCCCTGCCGCGTCGCGAGTCTGCGGGCCGCGCCGCGCCGTGGCGCGCTCCTCGCCGCCGCGCCGCGCCGCGCCGCTCTCCCCGTCGTGCCGCGCCGTTCCGAGCGGGCGACCGACCTCGCAAACTCGTGAATTTTCGGGGAGCGGCATGCCATCCCGCGCCGCGCGCCGCGTCGAGCCGCGCCGCGCGCCGCTCCGCTCGCCGAACTGCGAGTTGCGACCGCGCACCGCGATCTGTGGATCAATTTTTGAGCACTCGACGAGGCCCGACACTGACCCAACATGTACACAACATGTACACCACTTTTACACCCGTGTACGCAACTGTTACACCACTTTCGCACCACGTTTACACCGTTTTAACACAATTTTTACACCTGTTTTACACCACGCACCCACCACTTCTACACCACTTTTACACCACATGTGCACCACATTTACCCCAGCCCACACTTCGCGCACACCAGGGCCTCCCCGAGATTCCGCCCGCGCCCCCAGGAATACGGCGGAGCCGCCTGGGATTCAAATTGTAATGAATCAATACAGTTCTGGGGCCAACAGGGATTGGAAACCACGCCTAGGGATGCACCAGAGGACGCGAATCCAACAACCCGAAACAAATACATGACTTGTACATCATTGTTACACAACTTTTACATGTTTTACACCACTCGTACCCCAGTGATGCACCATGTTTTCGCCAACGTTTACACCTCTGCTGCACCACTTTTACACCAAATTTACACCACGCGTACCACATGCCACATGCACTTGCAAAGCGCTCCTGCGCCCCCTCGTGGGCTGGGCGCTTGTGCATTGGTGAGCTGCCGATTCGCTTGCGAAGGCACGCGCGGTGCGCGTTGGCTTGACGTGCCAATGGCCGTCAGGGTCGCGACGGCCGTTTCTCCGCTTTTGCGCGGAACTCGCGAAGCATATGTTTTCGTGCAAGCGCGCGACAGTTGCGTCTCTACATGAGTACCCCCGAGATTCAGGGTTGCGCGCGGGTCGGGTTATTTGAGGCCCTAGAGCGTAATCTTCGCAGCCTTGGTGATGACAGGACCCGTTGTCCCGATTTCCTGCTGCCGTCCCCCCGTGCGGGTCCCGTCGACCGATGCGACTATGTAGCAGTCGCGGACCGCCCTGGAATTTTGCGCGGGGAACGCATCGTTGCCTGTCGCCGCCGCCACTTCTACATCGCGGCGTGCCGCGGCAGCGCTCGATCGCCGATGGCCCGCGAGAGAAAACTGATTTCGAAAAGCAAAGAGATGATCAATAATTCTGCGCAGATGAATGAAATACCCCCGCGGAGGTCAGCGGCCCTCGCGCGCTCGCCCTGGGACCTAGGAACAGGCCCACTAGATTTGTGGAAGTCGGTTAATGGAGAGGAAGCATGCCGCCAACAAGTATCCAGATGTCTAAAGCATGTGTTAAACATGTAAAAAACATATTTGAATCATGTTTAGAATTTTTCCGACATTGTAAACACATGTTACATTTAATGATAGGATTGTTCGGGTGTCCATTGTCGTGGCATCCACAACCCTAGAGAAGCGAAACCTTGCAGAATCAGAAATTGTTCAGGGTCCGCGCGGACTCTTTGCATCGGTGGCGCCAGCGGCGCCGCCAGGGGGGGTCCAACGCGAAGTGATGTTCATGCCGTCTGGT